CACTTTGTTTATAATATTAGTGAGTTATAATATTATCATTATTTTATTACTGTATTATTATTATTTATTATTATTATTTATTTATTATTCATTATTTACTATTCATTGAAATTTTGATCTGTAATTTGTAAAACATTTAAACGTTTTGATTTAAAATATGTATTAAAACAATCAATATATTATAATACAATTAGGCCTAGGGGCCTATACTATATCTTTAAAATATATTTTTATCTTTAAAATCTTTAGTTGCACAATTAATTGATTTGTAAAGCACAATTGGGCATGTTTGCATAGCAGGACTCCTTGGACAAGATTTCGCTTTTATTGGAGGATTCAATTTTTATTTTTAATTATAATTTAAGCTACCTTTGACTGATACTTCATGTAGCTTTCTGGAAATTTAGTTATATAATTTAACAGCAAAGTGCAACATTGCATCTTTTTATAAATCATTGCTGCTTGAAATTCTTCCTTTTTTATTTTTTTATTGTCATCGTAATTAAAGCTGATTTAAGTACTACCTTAAGGTGTTCGGCCGAAGAAGTACCGAAATTTAGGCCTGTCTAGGCCAAGTACAGTTACGTATTACCGCGAAGTGGGGCGGGCGGTACATGCCTTTATTTACTACGTGGAGAGCGAGATTTTTCGATCGCCATGCGAAGTTAAAATATAATCCTAAATCCTCCTCCTTTTTGGAATTTAAGGAAATTAATACATTTTTGTTTCTTTGTTGGATCGATTGCAGCAACCCCAAACCCAACATAACGGTATTTCACATTATATAGCAATAATCATCTATAATAACTGCTAACTTCCTACCCTATCGGGTTGTTTTGTTTTGGTGACAACATGGCCGGTGTAAGTCACGTGATTGAAACCGAGTTGGCCAAACTCTCTCTATCTACGGCTCTGATCAAAGAAGCCACGCCTCCAAATCACATGTTAGCCAATAAGATAATAGAAATTTCTCCTCCACCACGTGCTCAGGTGATACAGAATACAGAATACAGAAACTTTATTAGTCCAAAAAAAGGAAATTTGTTTTGTTGACAAGCTCAAAACTACAAAATCACAAAAGTAAAAAAACAGAATCAAGTTTTACAAAAACAAGTAGAATTAATTAAAGATTAAAATATATTACCTCAAAGCGTACATTATTTAAGTTTAAAATAGCAATTTTTACAGTCGTTACAAAAAATACAGATACAGTACATAATAAGTCGTAATTACGACATAAAAATATATATTTCAGTGGCCCACGACATAATAAGTCGTAATTACGACATAAAAATATATATTTCAGTGGCCCTAATAGGTCGACATAATAAGTCGTAATTACGACATAAAAATATATATTTCAGTGGCCCTAATAGGCTTTCGTAATTGTGTGTGTGTATAAAATAAAAATATGTATAAGTCAAAAACGTAACAGTACTTCCCTGCACATTGCTTGTGTTATATCAAGTCAATCTTATGTATCTTTCGTTTCTCATGCAAGCATTTTGGGTGATGACCACACACACGATTATACATTATAATATATGCTAGTCCTACTTGCTTGTAAGTGATGTAGCAATAAAGTAAAACACCTAATAGTAGCATGCTCTCGCCTAGGCTCATGTGTGTTCGCGTCAATGCAAATAGGAAGCTATGCCATCCATACACAAAAACCAAAAGGGAATGCCAGTTCGAGCGGTAACAGATTCATTATATATAAATAATAAAAAGTAATTACAATTATTTACCGTATATAAAATAAGTTCACTGATTTCATTATATATAAATAATGAAAAGGTAACAAATCATTATATATAAATATATGAAACTTACAAATATTTATATATAATAAGTTCACTGATTTCATTATATAAACAACGAATTGACTTCAAACTCATTATATATAAATAACTGCTTTCAAATTTCATTATATATATAAATAATAGCTGTCGCAAGATTTATATGCCGCAAAACCATTGCATGTATATAATGATGCTTGGAATTCAAACTCATTCTATGTATGTAATGCACACGTTTTATCGTGTCAAGGTTATTATACCTAAACAATGGTTTCTTACTGCCAATATATAAATAGGTAAGTAAATAAATTAATTCTAGTCCTGAGAATGCCTACCCTGTATTTACAAATTGCGTATTACCAGGGAACAGTGAATTTCACTGTTCCCTGGTATTACTAGTAGTCCTAAGTCTGAACAGCAGGGAGTGTTCCCTATTCTCCCTAATCATTCCCTTTTATGTTTTTGTTTTGATTTTGATGGTTGTAATGATTTTGATTGATATGGTTATATTTTCGATGTACCATTAATGTGATGTGTGCCGCTGTTATTTGAAGCGTTTTTCCAAATAAATATTATTATTATTCAATTAGAAAGTTGCCGTGATTTGTATGTTGATTTTGACAGAATAAATGAATGAATCTACGACTGGTGTCGATTACGACCTCGTGAAAATGGTCTTTGTCTACTCATGGATTAATAAATAAACTTAATTTCGACTGGTAGATAATGAACTTTAAAAATATTCAAGCGGCTAGATTCGTTGACCCAAGATCATTTTACAATTCTTTAAATAGGATCAAATTTGCAGGTAGAGATTAGCGAGTATAGTGCCACTCAGGTCATTGTCATTTAAAGAGAGGCCTACCATCCCGAATTCTCACATCGGGAAAGGGGTGTCTATAAAACGAAGACCGGAGACCGAAGACCCGAAAACGAAGACCCCTATTTTTTCTCTTTTATTTTGATGAAAATACGCCAGGCTGTCACAAAATCAAAATTACGAATTTTTTTGGGCGTCTGTTTGTAAAATTTTCAA